GATTCTCTACATGGACGAAATTACAGCTGAGTAGTGTGCTTAAATTTGTGCAAATAATATTTCTTTTTTTTTTTATTTGACCATGAAGGATTGGAAGTTCTTGCTAAGAGACCAGCTCATTAACAATTAGCCTTTAAAACAAGTTAAAACCTTTTATTCTAATTTTGAACAACCCCCTTGCGACACTTGTAAATAAACATTAAATGTTAAGTTCAGGATGCTTAATGCAAAATGTGCAAACAAAAAAATATGTTATCAATCGAACGGATCTTATAACTGTTAAGAGAAACATACTGCACTATGTGTGCATGATGGCATGTAACCCATATTATAACACAATCAACGCAAGCAGTGTCACCATAAATAATATAACATGTTTATATTTGGTGTTTTGTGCACACTCTGCTCTTGCACTGAGACTTTTAAAACCCGGTCACTACAAACTGTCATGCAATTATTAAAAATACTAACCAGGTTAAAGTTATAGACCAATTAATCACCTTGCAGTCATATCTCTGATTCTGTTGTCAGTGGCCTTGCTTCTAAAGGCAAAGAGTCCAGGGTATATTCAGTGCTTGTAGCCAAATCTATGCTTGTGTCCTCAAGAGCGCAAACATCAACGTCCCTCATCAACTTGCTGTTGTCCTCCTCAAACTCCTCCTCCATATCAACTTTCTCAAGAGCCACTTCGTTCTCGTAGCAAAAAGAGTTCCTCAGACTGGAAGCATTGGATTTCTTTTCAGCCAGCTCCCTGGCAGAACAGGTGGGAGTGCTGGGCACCTCATAAGTATTTTCAAAACGAGAGTAGTCAACTTTGTAGTAGTTCTTCTCTTCAAACAGGACTGGCTCAAAGCGATGGCCCCAGAGGATCTCGCCAGCCACGTAGGAGCTCCGACATTGAGTCGTCATGGCAGTGGCCTCCACCATGCCCTCAAGAATCACAACAATCTCAAATTCAGAGGTTTCCAACTCCTGCTTGTTCATCTCGTAGAAAGGACTGTCCTCGTCAATCTCGTGCACTATGGTAATTGGAGACACAAGGAAGATTCTGTCGATCCCACTGTCAAAGCCGACATCTATGTCTACCTGATCCAGGGGGATGAACTCTCCCTCTGCTGTGGTGCGGGACTTGAGGAGCTGGGCCCTGACATGAGCCTCTACCAGGTGACTCTTCCTCAAGTTTCCCACCCGCCACATCAGGCAAAGCTTACCATCCCTCATTGCTACTGTGGCGTAGTGGCTGAACACCAGAGTCTCATTCCTCTTCTTTGGTTTTGCCATCTTGGCCATGACGGCACCAATAATAAAAGCATCAATAATGCAGCCAACGATGCTTTGAAACACCACCATGAAAACAGCGATAGGGCATTCCTCGGTCACATAGCGGTAACCATACCCAATTGTTGTTTGGGTCTCGACTGAAAACAGAAAGGCAGCAGTGAAGCTGTCCACATTGGAAACACATAATTGAGTCTCGTTCTCCAAGTCCCCATATACCAGTGCCACAACCCAGAAGACGAGTCCAAAAAACAACCATGACAAAAGGAAGGAGAGACAGAATATGACAAACATCCAGCGCCAGCGGACGTCCACGCAGGTGGTGAAGATATCTGCCAGGTAACGCTGGCCTTTTTCGCTCATATTGATAAACTGCACATTGCAGTGGCCATCCTTGCTTACGAAGCGACTCTGACGCTGCTGCCCTGCAAGCGCCTTGTTTACATTGCCATTCCCGTAGCCGTTTGGAACGGCAATAGACGCTAACTTCATGCCATCTTCCTCCGAGGACACAATACTGTAACGGTGGCTACGCAGGCTCCCCATCACTTCCAACTGTGGGGGCTGGGCCGCTTCTGCTTTGGAAAACAGTTTCAGTTTTTGGTAGAAGCGTTGGAGAAACAGTTTTGAATGTTGCAGGGGACAAACTAGGGCAGAAAATGTGGTCAACAGGACTCTGGCCTGTACGAAGGCTGCTCTTCTCTGGCACTGTCGGTGAGGGCAGTTCACTCCTCTCTGACACTTGCTTTGAATGTCATCAGTAAAAGAGGCTATGGAATATAAAGACAAAGACAGAAGCATGAGATCAAAAACTAACATGTACAGTTCCAAGTTAATAGCATTATCCATGTGGATGCAAATATAATTGTGCGTTCATATTCATCTAGTTTTGGGATGTTTCTTCAGAAAAAAATAGCGGTTCAATACACTATGAAGACAGTACAGATGTTTATCTGTGCACACCACAGAAATAGTATCCATAAATTTCTCTTTTAGATTTCTTAATTCAAAATGTTGATGAAGCAGTATTACTGAACTAGTAACCTTGAATTTTGTCCAGCCTAGCACCAAGGGCAACAAAAAAAAGACAATTTATTGACATGTTGCATGTGGTATGAGAAGACCAATAGAATATAATACCACAGGCAACAAAATGCAATTGACATGCTGCCTGATGTGCTCTACTAGTTCTAACATAACCCGGCTCTCCTATTTATCTGATGGTAATTATACATCCCTAGGATTAAAAAACTTAAAAATTATAATTAAATAAATATTTAAAAAGTTACACATTTTGTTTTCCCTAAATTAGTCATTTAAAGTCATTTGAAAAAAAAAAACTGATAAGTAAAACATGTTTCCAAAAAAAAAAAAAAAAAAAAAAAAAAAGCATTAATAAATAATGTAAGCTCAAATATAAGGAAATCAATGGAGACAAAACAAAATTTGGTCCAAGCAACTATAATAGGTTTTTTTTTTGGTTTGTTAATCTCCTGTGGACCTAATATGTGCACAGTGCAGAGGTTTGTTGATGAAAATAGTATCTGTTGGTGCAATGATCGCCTCTTTACATAAAGCATTATTTGCCTTTTGGCCTCTCTACATCAAATCACTTAATGATGTTATTTGTAGCATAGTGATAAATGAAGAGCTGCAGAATCATCACAGTCTGTGATTGTTTGCTTTGCATTTCCTATCTGATGGAGCTAACTACTGAGGCAGATGGGAAGTGGATTATATAAAACTGCTCTCTTTTGTATTTCAAAAATCAATATATCAATAATTTAGGTAAAGATATGTTTAAACTAATTAAATTTATAGATACAATTTAAATTTCCAAAATTTATTTAATTTTCTTTTACATTTTTATTGCTAGATAAAGTGAAGTATTTAATGATTTAAAAAGCTGTATCCGCGCACTTACCCATTAATCTGAATGAATGAAACAAATGTATCTCTTCAGCCCAAAATGTGAAGTTATAATTTAGCTCATTGCTAAATATTAAAACTGAAAATTGTAAAGGTTAAATGAGTTTTCGAATATTACAAATATTTGCCCTTAATAAATTCGATTTTTCTATGTAAAAAAAAAGAGACATCACCTACCTGTTGGAACTTGGAGCGCAAACTGGATCTTCTTTCACTGTTAAAAATATGATCTGCTCCAGATTCACAGTCCTTCTGTCTCTTGATATTTTGTCCGGTTTTTTATCTTCTCCCGCCTTCCCTTGAGCAGCTTTGAATCCAGCCATACCCCTATCCAGCGATACTGAAGCAGATAGTTGTGGTTCTGAACAGAAGACTTTGTAAAACAGTCGTTTACAAAACCCCGCCCCCGCAGCAGAAACAGCCAATAGGAACCAGGTGCGCCTCTTCAAGGTTCTGACAGATTTTATATTTAGTTTTGTCTCATATAAATAGAAAATATGCAGATTAACAGTTTATTTGAACTAAAATTAGTGGTTTACCTTCGTAATTAATCAATCCAAAATAAACTAAGTGTTAAAAGGCAGATTTGAAAGCCGTCTGCGCCGCTTATACCATAAGTGAACACAATGCGGCGCTGTTCAGCTGTTACAAACGCTGCTCCGTTAGGCGCTTAATGAAGAGCCGCTTGCCACTAATTTGGGAAGTAAGACATGTAGAAAATCTGCTATGAAAACACAATTAAAGTAATCTTTTCAGCTTTTAAATGTATAATTAGAGGTATATAATGCATCCCTGATAAGCGTAGACATTGCATCAGTCAGTTTTCCCTGTAATTAATTTGATAATTGATAAAGGTTCACATTGGCTTTTTTTTCTATAATCTTTTTTTCTGCTGTAACACCAGAATTTCCCTAATGTGGGCAATAAAGAATTTCTATTCTATTCTATCCTTTTCTATTCTAATACCCTGTGCACTAACATGTTCCTTTATATTTGATACCCAAGGCAATATCTATATATATAAATACCCATTTATATAAATACCCATCTAAATACCCTGTGAAAAAAACCTGTATAATAATCCTGCTGTAAAAAAAAAAGACTTCAGCTGTCATAAATATATAAACATATATGTGTGTGTGTGTGTGTGAAGATGCACTGTATATACCCCCCATGGACCTTTTCTGCCTTTGGCATATTCTTTTTGACTATTTGAGCCAATGTTACAAGTAAATTTCTCCTTTGTTAGATCAATACTGTCAATCAATCAAGTCAATAATTTAATCCATCAATAAATAGAATAGAATGAACCTTTAATATCAAATACTATTATTATTAGTTTTGTATAATGATTCCTTTTTGATATGCAGTGATGCAATATCCTAATTTGGTGCTAAATGCTTGATAGTAACAAACTAATTGACAAAGATAAGAAGTTTGATCTCACTAATACCCTCTGACCCCACCTTTATTTCAATACTTCTTTTGAATCACATGTTTTTTTAACTAGCCCTAAAAATAGCTACAGCTTAACTTGAATGGGCCATTCTAATTCATGAGTTTAAATGGCCCAGGCAAAGTCCAAACCTATATCCAAATTAAAATGTTATGGCATGATTTGAAATAAAAATGTGCTCATATGCAATCTATTCTGTCCGACTAAGCTTGGGCTTTTTGTGAAAGATGGGGAAAACATTTCAGCCATGTGCTGTATTTCTTGTGGAGAAATACACTAGAAGACAAAGAGCTATAATTGTAGTTAAAGGTGATGCATTAAGTAAAGAAATGCAACCTTAAGGGACAAAAGATAAAAGCTTTATTTGTACTAACAAGGTGGTCATTTATCTTACTCTCAACTTACTTCTTACAAAGCAAACAATAAATTAAAACTTTGGATTTCAATCTATATACAAACACATTGAAAAGGTCTGACCTTTTTATACTAACTACAGTAGAACAATGCATATATATATCTTTCTTTACAGAGAAGTTTGTACAACCACCTCCTCAGGGGTGTTATTGTTGGTCCAGTAGATTTGCCCACTTTCTGTGACTGATGGTAGAAGCGTATCATCCCCATTAAGATGTCTTGTCTCTCTTTCGTAAGCCTCTGCACAGATCATGGGCACAGAAACCCAGGTGGTCTCATTGAAGAGGGCATAGTCCACCTTGTAGCGCTTCTTTCCCACTTTCAGAATATCCTTAAAACGTTGCCCCCAGCGAATATCTCTTGGAGTATATGACGTGCGTGTCTGGTGGAGCATACCTGTAGAGTCTCCTGTATAGGTGAAGGAGACCACCAGTTCAAAGTTCTCCTCTTGCAAATCATCGGGACCCATTTTGTAGAGGGGGCTCCCTGGTTTTAGCTTGTGAATAATTGTCGTAGGAGTAGCAAGGACAACATGGTGGTTTTCAAGCTCTATGTCCTGGTACAACATCCTAACAGAACCAACTTTTTGCTTTACATGGCGAACAAGATAGGCCGTGATTACCCCTTCAAGAATGTGATTACCTCTGAAGTCTCCAAGACGCCATGAGAGACACAGAACCCCATTTCGTAGGTTGACAACTGCACAACTGCTAAATCCCACTGTCTGAGCCCTCTTTCGGGCAGAAGCCATTTTTGCCACGACAATGCCGATAATAATTGTATCAAGAAAGCAGCTAAATACATCATGGATAGTTACCACAATAATGGCCCCAATGCAGTTTTCCGTCATCCCCCTATTGCCATAGCCAATAGTTGCCTGGGTCTCCATCGAGAACAGGAATGCTCCAGTAAAACCACGCACGTTATCCACACAAGGACTGTTATCTACACTCTCAGTGTCTCCGTGTATGTAGGCAATAAGCCAATAACAGAGACCGAAAAACATCCAGGTGACAATGTAAGAAAGTGAGAAGAGGAGGATCATCATGCTCCATCGAATCTCTATGAGGGTGGTGAAGATGTCCAGCAAATATGGGCCCCAGTCTCCGTGGGGTTTTTGGAATGACACCAGAAACCGGCCGTCTTTTTGCATGTAGCGGATCTGCTTTCTCTCCTTTCCATTTTTCCTGCAGGATGTATGAACTGAGGTGTAGTAGGTGTCAATGATCTGTTCATCCCTTTCAGCACTCATGTTGATGATAAGGATCTTTCAGTCTCCTCTGGAATAAAACAATGACATGGCAATACAGATTATTGTGTAACATCATTACATTTGTTCATATCACAGAACATGTGACTGTAGTTTCTGCTCTATAAAATATAGTTATAAAACATCCCTTCATACCCCATTCTGAAATGTTTTATTGCATGAAAGTTTATATTGGTTGTCACTCTTACTAGTTTGCCACAAATTTAGAGCCACAGCACATCTGAATATGTTTTCTTTATGGCTTTTAAACTTCACAGCAGATAGACTTTAACTTTACCTTATAATTTTCAGAGGTGTTTTAAAAGTCATTTTATTTTACTATCTTGTCCTTGATAAGGCCTTCAAGAAAACTTTCCTCTGTTCTACTTTTCATTTCATGTCAAATAAGCATACTTTGTGCTTTTAAAAGCTTATGTAATATATCATAGATTTCAGTGATGATAATGCAGGACTTTTTGTAAGTTTTGGGTATGACGCACAAAGGGGTGAGTTAATATAGAGCCTGATATAAAATACAGAAATAGCAAGCCTAACTTATCATGAAAACTATCAAGCATTCCTAATTTAAATTTGCTTTGCATAGGATAGTAATTGAGTTGGTTCTCGCCTGATCTGTAAACCGGGGGTCTCCCAGTGCACAAGCTCCGGTGTCCTTCAACTTTTATGAGCCACTGCCTCACCACACCTGAGTCAACAATCAGGTTGTTAGCAGGACTCTAAACAACTTTACTGCATATTGAGAAGGTAATTCAGCCATTTGAAAATCTAGACACACATCTAAATGTTCCAGGCCTGAAGCCGAAGACCCTCACTGTAACCAAAGCTTTCATAAGGGCAACCATAGGAATGTAGCAATAAAACTCATAGCTTTCCTGTAAGATTATACTCTATTAAACTAGGGTCACTGTTTTGACCTTACTATCAGACATGGAAATTGACCTTTTCTTAACAATGTATTTAACCGTGACAGTTAGAGAGAATTGTTTACATTTTCCTGTGTGAAACATAAAACTAAAAATAGAAAACTTAATTTATAATCTGCTGGGCTTATCTCTTTTGTATTACACTTTGGTTTGTAATATTCCAAATGTGATATGATAAAGACAAAAATGTTTCCTTAAACGAAAAGTTAAAGTTTCAAAGAAAGTTTAATAGATATTTTTATCCTCTGCAAGCCCAAGCAGTTACTCAGAATCGATCTCAGTTCACTGTTAGTATTAATAAGTTTCAGCCTCTTTAAGAGTAAATTATTGACTCGTCACTGCTTCTAATAGATTTCACCTCCAAATGCTACAGGAAATGTCAAACTTTAACCACACGTCCTCCTTTCCAGAAAAACAGGACAAACGGTAGCGCATTTCTATAATATTTTTTCACTGACAGCTGCTTAACATGCCACTGATAACATGTTCACTATCCGGTGTATTTCAAAGCATGTCAGTGATCAATAATAAAGGTTGTTCTTCCTCTGAAACTGAGGTTTTATTGCCTTAAGGAAGTGAACATGTGTATCACAGTTTATGATGAATGGTTTATTATGTGTTCTAATTTTAACACCTCATATGGTTTAATTACGCAACTGAAGGCGTGAGGATTGCAGACTCTGTTGATTATAGTGGAAGGTAGAGCCAAGTGTTGTTAAAATAGTGTTCCAGTTAATCGAATGTTATCCAAGGCCCCAAAAAAAAGGCTACTGTTCGTGAGTAGGAGAGGAATGTAAGCGAATTGTATTAAAAAAAAGTCAATGAAAAACAGGCCATCATGCAAAATAAACTTCGGTAATAGAGCAGTTGAAACATAAACCGAACATAAAAACCCAACAAAATGTATAGCTGTTTTTGTTTTTCTTATAAACAATCAGGATTTTTTTCTACAGCAGAGTGGACACTCACATTGAAGTCAATAAAGAGAAAAAAAGCACTGGAGACAAAATTAACCACCATGAAGAATTTAAATAATAATTTTTTCTGATTATTCCTGTGACTGGTTTCAAGCCAATCACAAAGTTAAATTTTGTAAAGAATAGACAAAGAAAGAGACAATTTTAAGTTTAGCTTCAAATCAAGACCCCAGAAACAAACAAAAATACTATAGTTAAAATATCAAACAAGTAATTCTGTCATTGATTTCATTTCAGTTTGCTAAAATAGCCAAAAAATATGTATCACCAAAGCTGGAGATCACTTGTTTTAATAGCTGTTCACATAAGTTGCAATTAACCTTTGTTGGATTAAGCATATAAAGTAGTTATCCTCTATGCTTTGGTCTGGTATGATAAATGAAATATGTGAATGCTCAACTTACTTGAAGCGTAGAAATCAAACTGGATCGCGTGTCACAGTGGCCATAAGTTCCTCAGAGCATTAAGCAAGGTGTGCTTCCAGCTAAAATAACCTTCAAGGGTAGGAGCGATTGACATTGTTGGGGGCTGGCTGTGTCCTAAGGCAAAGTCCCATTTTTTTGTTGTGATATCACAGTAATCACTACCACCTCAGAGCCCATTGGACACAGTGGAGATTTATGACCTATGGAATATTTTAGAAGTTTTTGAAACACACAGAAAAAAACAAAAAAAAAACATCAATGTCTTATCCACAGGTCCAGGATTTGGATTTGGCCACAATTTTGTTCTGATAAGACAAGATCTTACCTGAGCCGCTGGGATGGTGGTTAACTTGGAAGGCACATCTAAAATCTGCACATCTGCTTCAAAATAGGGCAAGAACATCAAAACAACCTTGTGGGTTTTAAGAACATATGTACAATAAATATAAGTATATTGCATAACCTTTGACCTTTCATGGAGGTTAAGCTATCTGATTTATTGCTGGTTTTGTAAGACTTTAAATGAAAAGTGAGATAAGAGTTATTCTACTGAGAGATAACAAATGTGGAACAGACCACAGCTTTATAACGATTAAAAAGAACAAAGGCAGACCTAATAATATTCCTATATTACAAATATTACCAACAAAATTCTTTTCATTAATTTAATTTAAAGAGCAGTAAAAAAAAAAGAAAAAAAGAAAAATTGTAGATAAAAAATGCATCCTATTGTTTTTGCATCCCTGTAATCCTTTAAAAAGGTATCAATTGGGAAAAGAAAAAAAATTGCCAGTATTTAGTAAGAACCCAGTTGTATTAACTTAATTTTAGAGAAACCTGTATGCAAAAAGAAAAAAGATATCTGACTTTTCACATATTATCATGACATCGGCAGACAGATTTTCCATAAAAACCTTTAACTTTATTGATGGATACCCTTTTTTTTTCACTCTTCCTTGTTACTTTATGAAGGAATGTGGGAAATGAAAAGCCTAAATTAAAAAGAAAATCTTACCTTTGGCCTGAACTTTCTACAGAGCACTGCTTTGTCAAACCAAGTAAGGCGGAGGTCTTTAATGCAGTTAAAATCATTGGTTATAAAGTATCAAATTAATCAAACATTCACCAAAATTTACTGATAATCTTTGTTAGGATACGTAATAAAGCAAACTAGGAACATATATCAGGTCTGCAAGGAACTTCAAAGACTTTCGATTCTTAATGACGGAATTGATTTGCCATCGTGCTAAACCTTTGTCTTGCTGCTGTGCAGTCTCAGAGCAGATTTGATCTATAAAAAGGTGGATGGAATATTAGCCCTGTTGCATAATATGCTTTATTGAACTAAAGTGACATAGAGTGCTTGTGGCAACAAAGTGGACTCGAGCCAGTTTTATTACCGTATGAGAGAAAAAATTAATCTTTAATGGGATATGTGATGATCTATCACATACTGATATTGAAAATGCTAAACCGTTATAAGGCTACTGATCTGTGCATTAATTCATGATTGTAAATGCAAATTAATATAAATGGGATTAGTGTAGTTAAAACAGTTTTGGTTGGTCAGTATATCTAGAAAGGCTATATTTAATTATTTAAAAAGATGATATTGGAGTGTGTGTCTACTGCCTCCATATATATGAACATATGGTCCAGAATTTATCAGCAGCATGCTATTATATGTGTGTGTTTGCGTGTGTGGGGATGCATGAAGAGTAATGGAGGAAGTTACTGTCTAAAATTTAAGTATTGAGGTCGATTTATAGGAGGATGTCATTTGCCTAATAGCAGACCCTACTCTCTGGAGAGATAAAGAAAACCACAATGATGAGGTGTCCACAGAAAAAGAGCCAAGAACCAGTCCGACTTTAGAAAATCAGTAGTAGTATATTTAAACTTCCATTCAACTAAACATTAAAGAACTTACTGGGTGTAAATAAAGAAAGCAGCCCCCATGCCATTACACAACACCATCCAATCCTCTTTCCCATTTTCATACCGGATTACTTTAATTTAACATAATGCTGAGACTTTTCTGTCATACACGTTTTTTTTTTCCTGTTTCAATTACATATACTAAACTCTCACCGACCACAACATCCATAGATTCAATGCTGTGTTCATATCAATATTACTGTACATAACCGGAAATACATATTGCTTAAGGTAATACATACAAATAGCCTAAACAGTTCTAGGAAATACTACAATTGATCATTTAGGTTTTTTAAGCAGAGTATTTAAATGCCCCTCCTTTATTTAACCACTGCAGGCTTGATTCTTTGTTCTGCTTATTTTTTTTTCATGCATCTCAATTTTTCAGCTATTTCAAACATTCTCATTGTACCACTTAAGAAGCATCTTCTGTGATTATGACAAAAGCCAGCTGTATGTGCTGTCCTGAAATTGGCAAACAATGGGCAGTGCCGCACCTGTGTTCTCATTATTTGCTTAGTCTTATTGAGAAAGCTGGCAGTAATTAGTTAAACAAAGATGTAATAAAAGGTTTTGTATGACAGTCGTGATGGCTATGCCTATAGCGTTCTGCTTGTTTAGAGAACTATTTAAGAGTGACATCTGGCTGAACACTCAAGAAGGAAAGCTGTAGATGTTAGCTCTATGTAAGGACCACACAGCTCAGCAGTGAAATATGGAGAGTTTAGTTGTTCTCTTAAGTTTGCTGATTACTGGTAAGTACATTTTTGAAACCTCTTTTCTAGGTTAAAAGGTTTGGGAAAGACTTTCTTAAATAATTGGAGACATATCTCCTTTCAGGACTCGCTCAAACTGAAAACATGTGCACAGATCGCAGATGTCTGGCTCAAATGTTAATAAGTAAACAATATTTATCTTCACCTCAGTCTGAGAACTGCACCATGCTTGTTGAGGTTCCCATAATTAGATATGAAACTCTGTCTGTTGTAAGTATTTTTTTCTACACACTTAATAGATGTAGCAAAGAAAAGATTAAGACTATTCTCTTTTTTTCAAACACTATTAAAATCTATCTTCCTTTGTTAACAGAACATGAAGGAACTCCATGTAAAGAGTCGTCTACAGGCTGACATTGTTGGTTCAAACATTCATTTCGCAAGTTGAAAAGGAACAGAAATAAAATCCAGTTTCAAACTTAATTTCATCTTAACTTGCAGAAATGGATAGACCCGGAGTTGGCCTGGAACACATCAATATATCCATTTGAAAAAGTAATATTGCCTGTAGATAAAGTGTGGACTCCAGATATAGCTATAGAAAATGGGTGAGTGTCCTACTTTTAAGACAAGCTAAGTCTCCTGACTTGAATAAAGGCGCAATATAAGTACATGCCATTTACCATTTACGAGTAGAAACTTGACGCTTTCTGTGATTCACCCGCTGTCCCTGTTGTAAATGTGTGCAGAGAGAGCACCATGCAGCACAATTCTCTGGATCTATTGGTGCATAGTAATGGTACAGTGCAGCACAAGGTCGTCGTAATGGCAACGGTACAGTGTGAAATCAACTTGTTCAACTATCCGTTTGCTTTCGATAAGTGCCCTGTTGGACTCAAATCTACCCCACCAGATGGTAAGTCATTCACTAATGACATAAGGTTGAGCTAATCTTTTATTCTTTCAATGTTGTGTTAATCAGTAAAAAAAAAAAATCAATTAAAGCTCATTGGCAACTACAAACCATTTTCCTCAAATCCCAAATGACAACATAAAGAACAAAACACCTGTACTCTAAATTGTAGCAACATGTCTATTATATCCTTTACAATTTCAGTGACAATAATAAAATGTTTCCAGATTCTACGGTAGCAAAAATCTTTGCTACCGTGGTGCCCTAAAGCAACAAACCCAATTTGGTCTGTTAGTTTTCAAATATCAATCTCTTTAAATAAAAATTTACTTATAAAAGTATCAAGAAAGTAACAAGCTGGGATTTAATTAGTAATATTATTTTTCAAGAAGAAATATTCAGTTTTTCATCTATTAATTTTTATATATAGCCTATATGTATATATTATGGATGCACGGCGGGTAGCGATGTCTCCTTGCATCAAGAAGGTTCGATTCTTAAATCTTAAGTCTTTCTGCATGGAGTTTGTATGTTCTCCCCGTGCATGTGGGGGTTCTCTCCGGGTACTCCGGGATCCTTCAAAGGTGCAAAAATCTTAGTTAGGTTCATTGGTTTCTGTCTGTGTCAATTGGGTTTGTGTGTGTCTTTGTGTTGCCCTGTGACATACTGGAGACCTGTCCAGGGTATACCCCACCTCTCACCCATAGACTGATGTAAATTGGCACCGGCCCCACCTTGATGGAATAAGGGGGAGAATATACATATATATATATATATATATATATATATATATATATATATATATATATATATATATATATATATATATATATATATATATATATATATATATATATATATATATATATATATATATATATATATATATATATATATATATACATAGGTATCTTGCAATATGTCCATATTAGTCTGAGTCTGTCCATTCATCTTCTGATATTGTCTCCTATTTGCTGCTGATGACAACACATTTAGCATGATGTTTTTTCACACCTTTTTTAAGGTTTCAAATGAGGCTTTCTCTACCTGACTTTCAAGGGGTGTGTAAGTGTGTATGGACATGTGTTTGTTAACTGGGACAGAGGGGCAGTGTATGACAATTTTCTTATTTAGTGTTTAGTAATAGTAAGGGCTGGGATAAGGGTTTGGGTTAGGCCATGAAAGTAAAATGATTGGGATAGTTGGACAAAATGTGTGTGTCTAAAATATGTCATATTTCTGTCTGACAAAATATTGATGAATTACTAAAGAAAGTGTTGTTTCTGCAGAGTGCGGGATAGTCATAGACGTTAACACTGTGACTTTAGGAAGCACTTCCCATGGAGACTGGGAAACAGAAGAGGTTAAACTAGAGAAAAAGCGAGAAGACCGTAATTATATCTCTGTAAGTTCATGAAATTAAATCCTAACCAATTCAAAATGAAATCAAATGCTACATTCATAGCAAATCCACCCAGTTTAACTGTCAAGCATGGCTGAACCTAGAGATGGAGGCTGAGGGATTGCTGCAAAATCAACAAATAACTCAATAAAGTAATGAAACTGCTAAGGTTATTTTATAGCTAGGTTAGGTTTTTCTGATATTAAAGTTTGTGTGATGATCTAAAACATGTGACAAAAAAACAAAAGCAGATAAAGTTGTTAGGAGCATACACTTTACCATAGAAATGTTTATTGTTCATTATGAAAAATGTTTTATTAAATGTAATATATTTGACTTTTACCAGTAAATTGAATTGATTCCTAGATTAATCACTTTGTTAATTAACTAAAGAAATATAGGGAGAGGGAGGAAACTTTTCTGAAAACAACCTTAAAAATGTTTGAGAAGCAACTTACAGGATTTTTATATAAAAAAATGTATGTTTGCCTGCTAGGTAACACGCTGTACAAATCTAGGTCTTTCTTAAGATCTACGTTTTTTATTTTCTCTGAATAGTTTTTGATTAGTTAAAGCCATGTTCAACATTTACTAAACTCATCAAACGTATTTTTTTTTAGGAATAATAAGAAAGAAAAAATAGAAACATTACTAAAATAACCTAAATACATTAGCATGACACTTCCATATTGCATCCATACTTAACTGATACAATGCAGACTCTGTTATGTCCTGGCTTCGTTAGTTCCCTTCAAAATTGTGTCTTTGCTTACATTGAAGGTGTATCTCAGAATCAGAGTCACCAACCCCTTCATCACATTACTCCTGCCTACTTATCTGATCATGATCGCAGATATTGTCAGCTGCGCTCTGCCATTGCAAGGTGGCGAGCGCAACTCATTCAAGGTAACTTTGGTGCTCAGCTTCACCATGTTTCTGAACATCCTCACCGATGTTCTCCCTGGAGACAGCAAGTGCAGCCCAGTTATCCGTGAGTCACAAACCAAATGTTACTGTGCTAAAAGATTAGATAAAGACGTGCAGCAATTCCTAAAACCCTCTTTATGTCTCACAGGTATCCATTTCTGTGTTTGCCAAGTGCTGATGGTGATAAGCACGCTGGTGTCTATGCTGTTGACAAGGGTGTCTCAAGATGGATTCTTCCTCTTCACCTTCTCCTTCAGTAGGTGTTCTCGTCAAAATGCAGGAGGCAACGAAGAAAACGATGAAGCAGGTGAGTGAGGCTTTGCTGTCAGGGGAAACAAAACATGAGACTGGATCATTTTTTCATTGGGGTTTGTCACGTGAAGTGACTAACTAACTAACTAACTAACTAACTATAACCTCAGCAGAAGCCAAGGGTGCCATCAGCATCATTCAGCATGATGTGTCCCAAGACTCTCTGATGCTCAACATGATCGTCAAGTTCTTGGAGGCTTTTGACACCAAACAGCAAGAAACTGAACGTCGTCAGCAGCTTGCAGATAAACTGGATAAAATTTGCTTTTGGTTATATTTAGTTGTTACCTTTGCATACTTGGCTGCTATGACTTATGTTATGGTAAGGTATGAATGCATAGTTGACCATTTTACATTTTGGGACTGATGCATCTGTCAAAAAAATTCAAAATCGTCTCTGATCATGTGTGTTATAAAAGATATAATTAGATGACTTTGAGGATATTAATCATAGACGTATGTTTTGTTAAACTATGTAACCAGTCATAAGTCAAAGCAAGACAGGTGTGTTTGTTTACATTTTGTTTGTGCAGTAAAAGAATAACAAAAAATGAAGCTACACATCAAAATAAATGCTTAAACCTACTTTTAAAACACGTGGATTGGATTGCAGTGGGACACATGCAAGGCTTTTGTGAGTATTTTAATTAAGTTCAAACAGATTGATTTCAGTAATAATTTGCTGGACTGATCCCAAGTTTTCTGAGAAACAGGACACAGAGAGTAAGAGTTAAAAATTGTCTCTTAACTTATTAAGCTTGCAAAAATGTGCCAGAGATGACATAACAACAGCTCCATCATAAAGTATACTGATTATTATGCATGGCAAATTCCTGACTCAATATTTATATATATATGTATGGGTTAACATCTAGCTTTTATGGTTGTTGCTATAAGGTTCCGCTTGATTATTATATATGACGCTTTGCTTAAAATTATACATACACAACGGACAGGGAGAGGAAGGTGGGAAAGAAAGAAGGGGTAAGAAATATCGAAATAATCCCCAGATGCCCCAGTGGGGGAAGAGGTGCCGGCCACACCCCATCTGCGGCGTCCCACAGAAGCCGCAGATCAACCCCACCGAAGCATCCAGCCAATCACAGCTGCTCCAGGCCTCCACATTCATACGGTCTGTATGGATAGAGGTTGGGCGGATCTAATCATCCTTTGTCTTTGGTTCTCTGTAGCATTTTTAACCTAATTTCCAAAGAAATTTGTTACTGGAAGAATCTGAAGATGTCATAAGTTTTCTTTAACCCAGTACATTTTGGAACCAGCTCCCTCTGGACATGTATGCTACGTCATTGACCAAGGTCTTGTCAAATCTAAACTTAATAGGTTTTTTATGTAGTAAGGGTTTTTGGCATGTCATCTATATATTTTTATGTTCTAAATAATTTCTTGGATTTTATTATCAAGCAATTTTCCTCTCTGCGCGGCTCTTTTTAAGGACTATATGAATCAATAAATTAAAAATTCTGTGAATGTTAGACTGCTAAATGAAAATAAAAACAGCAGTTGCCCAGTGATCTATGACGTTTTAAAATAGCACAAAGATTCTTAGCTTTACATGATTATAAATATCATCAAAAGCAATCAAATAGAATTTTGAATATGATTATTGGTTAAAAAGAACTTTCAATCCCAATAGCCAGGAATTTACAGGAATCAATCATTTGAATCAGGTCTGCTGCAGAGACTTAACTTAAAACATGCAAAGCAGCGGTATTTTAAGAGTTTGGGAACTACAGCTGTGGTTCACAACCCTATAGACCATAGGATTGTCACTTAACTATAGGCTATAGTCCTCAAATATATTATCTCTAACAAGTGACTTTTGTCAAAGATTGTCAGTGTGTATTGTTGCACATTCCTTGGAAGTATTTTAGATCAAACATGGATTATTGAAACTAAGTTCAGGATAATGTGCAAAAAGTCACGTCAGCACTGCTTCTGCTTCAGGAAACTGTCATTTTAACACTGATCAAACAACAATGACTCTTTTTATTGTACTCTTACTTAATCAATTCCTTCCTTCTCCTTGGTCTCATGGTTGGGTCATATAACTTTAAGGAGTTCCTTCCAGTAGGTCATGAAACCGCCATCTAGACTGGATTTTAATGGATTTGAAAGATTTTATTAATTTTTTTTTAGGGTTTTTACCCATTAGTTTTGAAAAAATGTTTTTGGATATTAATGCATCCAATCATTAAGTCTTTCTCTCTTTCTCTGTGTCAATTATATTTGTTTGAATTGTTCTGCCTATGTGTTAATTATAATCAATGTAAATAAAAGATCATTACTATGAATGTGTGAATGCTTTGAACTATTTTAAAACTAAAATAGCTAGGGCTTATTATTATTAAATAACCTTGGACCTTGAACGTTATCAAAGCAAATAGGTAACAGGTTCCAATTGGATAATAATGCTTTGAAGATTATGTTTGAGTTGTCAACGAGTCAATAAATCAGAGTTGATGGTTATAAAATTATATTTATCCACAAGGGACCAATCATCGGTGTGCATTAGGCATATAAGGAGATTGTGAAAAATACCAAACTTGGTTACAAATTCAGACATTATCAAAAACCTGACTGACAGTGGCGACTCATCACCTTGAAAGAAATGAGATGGAAAAACACGCATTATCACTTAAATCATTGGTGAAACCAAAAAAAAAACATGACAAAAGAATATAAATTCTGATTTTTTTATTAAACTAATTCAGTGGATGTGTTAAACGGGCATCAATTCTGTTTTTATATTAACATTGAAGGCTGTATCCATACATATTCAGCCAAAAGCGCCAACACGATGTTGCAAAAGCAATCTGAACCAATTGTGGACTCAGTGGGAGTGGATAATTAATTACTAAATTAGTCAGATTGTCCTGAACTAATATTACCCATACTATTTAATCAATATCAAATATTTATGAATTGTTTTACTAAAGGTTGATTTGTCATGCTTGGTAAATGCTTTTCTTAGCTAACACAATAAACCATTAAGTATGTGAAAGATGCAGCATTTGCATATTAAATTCATAATAAAACTATCAGATGTTTTAAACTAAAATTAGCTTCTATTTGTGAAAAGAAAGTCTTAAAAAATATATACTGATGAATGTTTAACAGGTGCTTGTTCAACATGAGAAGAAACTATTGTGTTTATTCTTAAGCATTTATCAGTTATATCAGCATAACAAAATATTTTATATATAAAACAAGAAAAACTAAGTCTGGAAATACACTGCATGCTTTATAGAGAGTTCAGATTAATTTAAGTGTGTGTTGAGATGATCTACTTGAACCATGATGTATGTTGCCACCTTGTGGCCAAACATTTTCCTAAAGAAAAAACAAGGTTCCCTTCACTCTTATTCTTAGTTAGATTTATTCAGTATTATTAGACTTGGACATTTTTTTACACACAAGTGTAAACAAAAAGAAATGTCATTAATTACATCTTTCTAAACTATTTCATTTTTTTATTTTTTTATTTGTGATGAAAAAAAGTGATGTAAACATATGACTGTATAGTTACAGTTCCACAGATGCTTCAAAGTCTATTTTCAGAGGGCAGCAGGGAGGACAGTCCATGGTGGGGGTGTGAGGGGTCATTTATGATGTTACGGGCTCGGGACAAAATGTCTTTTATGGAGGGAAGAGGAGCCCCGATGATCTTCTCTGCTGTTCTTACTACTCTTCTCACCTTCTTCCAGTCTGAGGCGCTGCAGCCTCCACACCACACAGTGAGACAGCTGGTCAGAACGCTCTCTATGGTGCTTCTGTAGAAGGTGGTGAGGGTGGGTGGGCTCTCTTCATCCTCTGCAAGAAGATACGCTTTTGTGCCCTTTTGACCAGTGAGGTCGTGTTTACAGTCCAGTAGAAGGGTGTCTATGATGTGCATCCCCAGGAATTTGGTGCTGTTGACCACCTCTACTGCTGAGCTGTTGATGACCAGTGGAGTGTGGTTAGGCTGGTTCTTCCTGAAGTCCAAGATGATCTCCTTCATCTTCTCCACTTTCAGGATCAGGCTATTATCTTTGCACCAGTCCTCATCTCAGTATTTCTGGTCGTTGTCGTCACTGATGAGGCCCACCACCGTGGTGTCGTCTGTAAACTCACAGTGCAATTGGTGGTGAACCTGGGGACGCAGTCATGTGTCATCAGGGTGAACAGCGGGGGCTCGGGACGCAGCCCTGATGGGAGCCTGTGCTTAGGATGATGACATCAGAGGTTTTCTGTCTGACCCGCACTGACTGAGGTCTGTTTGTTTATTTTAGAAGTAATTGGTAAAAATGTATAAATCCTAAGAATTCTATATTTGGAAATGATGGAGTTTGTGATTTATTTTAGGAATCACAACACTTTCTCAAAAATATTTGAAATTATTATTTTTATTACAATTATAAATCATACAAAGGCTTTGATTCGCAACAAACATTTGAACAGAAAAATAGAGTTTATTTAAAGTAACAAAAATATTTTTTTATATATTAATGCACTTTTCCCCCAACATTCATACATCCTAAAGCCTAGGAGAACTTACAAAAATAAACTTTACCATCATCATGACAGTGAATTTCCTTAAAATCACTACGAAGTAACTCAGAACATAGAATAGATCCACCGGGTTATGAGCACCACCACCTTTTTAGTCTGGATGTCTGCAGTTCAGTTTTATGTTTTCTCTGTTTCCTTCATTACCTTTTGAGATGAAAAAAAAAGTGTCATAATTTTATATGATATTCATATAAAAAAAAATGAAAGAAATAATTAAATTCACAAACCTGTTTGAAAACCTGCCCAGTGAGGTAGGTCTGTGCCATGTTTCTAAGGCTGGATTTTCCACCCACTTTGCATCTGACATAACCATACAAATTGGCCCATTGCAAAACCAGTCCCATTATTACCACCGCCTGAGGTACAAGGTCACAGCAGAGAATTACCACCTATGTGACATTAATACAGTCTGACAGAAGTATGACTCATGCAAAAAAAAAAAAAAAAAACAGTAAACTCACCAGCCATTTGATGTTAAAGGAGAAGATGGTGCTGAATAGAAAGATGACCCAGAAGATGGGGCACACAGTCAGTCCCAGCCAGAAGATCCGTGACTCTGCAGCGGTGGTTTTGCTGACACTACCGGCCTGTTCAGAGAGGTAGACTTAATTTTACAGAATCCTGACAAATTCAAATCTAAGAGTCAATTTCATTGTATTCTATAATAACCCTCAAAGAACAGGATAGATCAGAGGTTAACTTAGAGTCATAAACAACAACAAATAAAAAAAGAACTGAGGACACGTGTAAATTCCTTCTGGATTTCTATTCATCCAAACTGGATCAAAACTATACACTCAGATGGAACCATTGAATTAGTCGCTCTATGATTTAGTTAACTATCTCTCAGTACTAACCAAAGACAACTGTACCAACTATCAAGCATAATAGAGGCAGCCTAATGCTGTGGGTCTTTCTGGTGGTGAACCTGAAGCATTGTGCAAAGTGGACTATTTCTGCAATTCCCTTAAATTGTTATGGGCAATTTGAGAACACTGGTCTTCTTTATCCAATTTCAAAATGAGTTAGGAAGTCTTCCAAAGACAGAAAATTAAAGACGATTTTGAAATTAAATGGCATTCCCATACCAAAGAACCTAATGTCCTGAAATTTCCCCAACCTTTACTTTATTTGACATTCATGGACTACATTTAAAACTAAGTAGTAAAAAAATAATTTATAAGGCTCCTTCTATAGCTTTAAAATAAAAAGGGCTTCACAGCAAAACAATAGACTGCAAACCTAAATAAAATGCCTACAATCGCATGTAAAAGAATGACATTACTTTAAAAATAAAGGTGAAAAATAAGCACTTAAAACTGAAGATCAAAAATAAAAAGTGCTTTACCCTGCTTTTTTTAAAGAGAAAGCATATTTTTTTCAGGAAATCTGGGGTTTCCTTTTATAAACCATTTAATTGAATTTTACCATATTTTCTTAAGAATAAGGATCACATATTTAGGCAGAAATATGGTGGACCATAATCTGATAGAGTTTTTATTGCAGCAGTTCAAAGAAACTTTCACCAAATGCTTTGAATGTTTAAGTTACTAGTATGTCCAGGTTTTGTATTTGTAGGAGCCAATTATTTTTTGTTAATAACTAACAAAGTTTTTTTCTTCATTGAGTATAATCTAGCTAAGATTATTTGCGTACTTTTATTTACTACTTTTTATTTACTTCTTGATATCTGTTATGAGATTATGTTTCTTGGTTATTTAGTCATGTTCCTTTGTTTTTGGTTAGTTATGATTAATTTGGGTGAATTATTTTTATAAATAGGCATTCAATGGTAGGGCCAGCATGCATCTCGGTGGGCGTATGTTTTTTTTTTTTTTTTTTACTTATGTTGTGGCCCAGCTTTTATGACACAAAAAAAATGGAAATCCACAAAGGCCACAGATGCACCATGGATTAATTAATTTACACAGTACAAGAGAAACTGAGAAAACTAAAGGAGTTTACCTGGAACTTTTGTTTTTCTTTTGCTTGTGTAAATGACTTAGTCCATGGTGCATCTGTGGCCTTTGTGGATTTCCACTTTTTTTGTGAGTGTCATCAAAGTACAGATGGATTAATTCATTATGAGGAATTACCTTCCTTGATTCAAACACCCATCGGCTTCTTCCATCTTCATCGACTTGATTCCACCACCGAAGGCCAACCAGCAATCTGCCAGATACATTCTGAACAAAAAAGACAATCATTTAAAACAAAATTATAACAATGATCTAAACACTAAAAGTCACAAAGAAACATTTAGTTAAACATAACAAAGTATATTAACCATTTTTCCATGGAGTTTTCTATTTAAACCAGACAGTTACCTTTACAGTCCAGAAGTCACATGAGAGCAGGAGGATGATGGTGACCATGCAGACAATAAATCGACCACTGAGAAAATCACACAGTAAATAAACCAAGATGGCACATGTCCGGAAGAAGAGGTGGAAGAAGGATGTCAAAGGATGTCTGAAAGACATTGGAGTTTGGTTTTAATCATCAGCTATTAGGGCACAGTGAATGGATATACTTTCTGAAAATAAAAAAAACTTTAAAACCTAATATTAGACTTTTGTTGCCTGTAGTTCTCGTCCTCCTCACCAAAAAGGGGTGAATCTTGAGAGTCCTGGACACATAAAAAGTAAATCAACATAATCCAAATCACATATTTCTGTCTTCTTAAAAGTTTAACAAACATGTAACTGAAAATACTCAATCAAGCAATAACCTCCTAAGTGATACAATAAACACGCCATTAGATATATTTTACCTGTCGATCCATTTCTCACACAGGAGGATGACTTTCCTGGTGACGTGGATGTAAACAAACTCGTGTGCTGAGGACCCAAAAAGGGTGGCCGACAGTTTGCCTGAGTCCTTCTTCTTCTTTTCTATTTTGGCGTATCGCAAGCAACTTTAAGGTGCATACCGCCCCCTACTGTACATGAGTGTGTAGCAACATTACTTTACATCAAATTATATTTTTTATTCCGTATATAAATAAATAATGCTTTCCTTATTCAGTAAATATCCTTTATATTTCCTTAATTTCCCAATATTCCTTTTAAGACTCCATTATTTGCCTGTCCTTCCAACCATACTTCTCAATTTCTCCCTTTCATGTTCATAAGTTTCATCAGTACATGTTCTACATTTTCTTTTTCTCCACATCCTTCACATTTATCATTATTTTTCCTTCCTATTAAACATAAATTGTCATTTAAATAGGTATGACTCACTCCTAATCTAATGATTATTACTTCTTCCCCTCTGTTTCTCTCATCAATGATTGTATTTAATACTTATTTTTGTACCTTATATAATCATCTTCCTTTCTTATCTTAGTTCCACCTCTTTTGTCATTTTTCCATTTCTTTAATCTTAATAAGTGATTTTCCTTCCCCTTTCCCAAAAGGAATTGCAATGGTTATTGTTCCATCTAAAGCCCTTTTTGCCAATACATCTGCATTTTCATTTCTAATACTAAATCTTTTCTATCATTTCCTTCTCCCTGAATACTTTCTAAAACTGCTTTGGATTCTGTACAGACCACCACCCTGTCTGGCCTAACCTCCTGTACCCATTGTAAGCTTAGTATAATTGCCACCATTTGTGCTGTGAAAACAGATAATTGATCTGATATTATTTTAGAAATGTATATTTTAAACTCTGGTATATGTTTGCCTGAGTTAAATACCGCTGCTCGTTAAGAACTAAACAACAGTCATACAAACAGATTGCGACTGTTAAAGTGTGGAGGATTTGTCCCCTTGGAAGTAAAGGCTGTAGCGCCCCGGGGGGCCTCCTCACCGGTTCTTTTCCTGGGAGCAAGTTATTTACTACTCTTAACTCAAACTGGGTAAAACCATATAAAAAAGGACAATAAAAACAGGAGTAAAAAAGTAACAGAGTTTATTCCAGATCAGGTCGTTACAGGACAGAGAAAAAATGCTTAGAGCTTGCACAGCTGTGGTCTCAAAAATCACGTCCGCAAGCGTCCGGCAAAGTTTGAGCCCCAAACAACGTCATCTCCTGCTTCTTATACTTTCTGAGTCTGTGTTGCACTAGGTGGATGCTTAGCTGTCTGTATCAGAAACTGACATGCCATCCATGTCTTGAACCCCATGCAGGTTGCCTCTCTGTCTCAGGGTTACAGATAGCCCTCCTCTATCAGACCGGCTCCAAGATGTGCCAATATCCTGTGTACTTCTAAAGACACGAAGGCTGTCTGATTAGATGACCTCCGTACACACAGTGACATCCACAATGTGAAGGAAGGCCTTCTGCTCTGTCTAATCTGGCTAACAGAATGCACATGATGTATAATTAATTAAACCTAACACGACCCATAACCAAATCACCAGAAAACCTCATAACTTGAGCCCAAAAAACCATATCAACATTGAAGATTGTTTCATGGAAAAGTTGTTGACATTTATGATAAAATTAACACTGATAAATAGTTGTTATAATGGTGTTGCTGATTGTTTTTTCCTTAGTTAAATTTCCTAAATAGAGATAGCTTTCACTTTTCATTTATATTTTATAGATTATGAACTCAAAAGCATGGTCCGTCATTTCATCAGGTTTGGGACTTTGGTACCACAAGAGGGTTTAACAGGACATTAATTCTTTGGAATATAAAACAGGTATAATCAGGGACTTTATTTGGGTATTTTAGATAACCTTATTATGATATTTTCTATAACTAAAGCAAGGTATGTAGAATAAATCTGCAAATGAAATTGCAGGGGCGGAGCTAGATGCGGGGGCTAGGGGTGGCCATGGCCACCCTTATCCAATCATTGGCCATCACTGTGGCCACCCCTACCATTTTCCCCCCTCTAATACAGATGGTGGCAACAGTAATACTCTCAAGTGGAATATTCAAAACATGTTTACTTTTTTGTTGTTAATTATGCACATCAGTATTCTAAAAACAAAGATAAGTACAGAATTCATGCTCTTTTCAGAGCTAGATTTTGTGTTATATAGTGTTAAGAGAAAAATATGTGTCTCTGGAAGTCATCTAGGAGTCTTCAGTGAAATGAAAGATAAATAACAATTGAAATAAAATATTATCAAATAATCAATTTATGTAGATATTAGTGCTTGTAAATATAAATTTTATGCAGAATGTTTATTGATACAAGTAGGTAAGTAATGACAATGATGATTGATCCACGCCCCAGAACTCAAAGCTGAGTTTTATCCACTCTACCTTTTATCTAGAAATTAGGGATGTTTCAATATGTCATGGTTTTGGTAATGTTGTGCTTTACTTTGTTCCTTGTTTTCTAGTTTTATTGGTTTAATTCCTATTTTGTTGTAGTTTCTAGATTTATGTTAGTTCTCAGGTTTTTCTGCTGCTTTCCTCTGTTGCCCTCTTGTGTGTGTTCCTTTCCCCTTGGCTCTCTCGTTGTCTCCTCACACCTGCTCCTTGTTAGCCCTGCCATTGTCTCAGTCAGCTATATATGCTCTCCCTCTGCTCTCACTCTTTGCTGGTTCCTTGTCTTTGCTTTCCTCCCATGCTCTTGTCCACCTACCTCGTCTCTCTCTGGCTCCTCCTGTTTGGTTTCCCCAGATGTCTCCATAGTTCTAGTTTGCTTTTCATTATTAGTTGGATTTTTTTTGCATTCCTGCCTTTGTTTACTTTTTTGCCCCATTAAACTGCAAGAAATCTCCTCAGCCTCTCTGCTTCTGCATTTCGGTCCTCAACCCACAACTAAACCCTGACAATATATATGCGTCTATTTGTTAGCAAAGGCTGTAGGAAAGTCTAGTTAGTCTTTATTTATAAAATATTGCTGTTTTGCTCATTAATTTTTCTCTTGGAACCGTGCAGATTGACCATGAGGTTCTGGTGCCTATCCGCTTTCGGCCACCCCTCAATGTACATTGGTTATTGCCCTGCAACCCTTATAAAAAATTTCTGGCTACGCCTCTGTGAAATTGTAAGGAAAAAGAACATTATATATTTTCTTGCATTAGACTGAGGCCAGCAAAGTCAGCTGCAAACAGAAAATAATGACAATGAATAAAAGCGAATTCAGTTTCCACAATTTTTTTTTATTATTTGCAAATATAATAGTATTAATCACGTTTTATATGACATTATTGGTTTAAATTTTAAAAATAAAATCTTCAAACACATTTACATTGTTGCATAATCAAGCCACTCTATAAGAAAATATAGTAATACAGTCTCTTTCAGAAAAATAATATAAAGTGCTCATCAAAAACCGTCTGTACAAAATAGTTTAATAGTGCCAATTATAGCCTTCTGTACACTTCCTGCAAGGTGCTGATTTAAGAGTTGAGGTACACTTCAAATAAACTGGACACTGAGTGCATTCGATAAAAGATGCCAAAAGGAAGACCCACGTTCACAATAGCAGCCCACATGTTCAACTCGTAGAACTGGGTTTCAGTGTCATTATCAAACTGGGGACGAGCACCAAAGGCTGGCATGATCCACAGCTGTAAAAGACAGAAAGAATGGGCTTAGCGTTCAGTCAATCAGCGAGAATGTCAGACAGAGGGATAGAAAGAGATACTTACAATGATGTTACCCAGAAGCAGGAACGTGGAGACCTCTCTCAACACTCGCCGCTTCCACAGCAGCTTGTGTTTGTGCTCTGATGTGGCACCGTGGCCATGGGCTTCCACATCAGCGGTGGGTTTATTGCCTAAGTTCACATTTTCAAGTTTGTTCCCATCTTTGCTGGGCTCAATTGCGTATGGATTTGCTACCACTGTGTCAGACTCAACCTCATGGAAGGGTTCCCGGTGCAGGCCCTCAATTATGAAAAAGTTCTGTAAGGCGAGCTGGATCACCATCAGTATGCCCCAGGTCAAATTGAGCCTGTTCAAATGGCCCTTGGCCCCAGTTGCAACCATGGCTACAATGGAGAAATAGCTGATGATGAATTGCCCAAGTGAGGCTCCCACTAGCAGCCCCACATCCAGACTACGGGTCGGGTTCTTCTCTGAGACGTGCTCCCTGTGGTCTACCTTGAATATAGCACTTCCGATGATGGTGCACACTGACATCATGGTCACAATGACTATATTCATGACCAAGTGCATCATCACCGCTGATTCATGGTCTTCTTCATTAAAGAAATTTGTTTTCATTTCGATCTCATACACAATGAATGTTGCAAGGCCTGCAACCACAAGGAGGATCCCAAAAACAGGACCGATGAAGACATCCTTAAGACTGAATTTGACATGGTGGTGGTGGCTGCTTTCGGACACTGCTCGGCCCACATTCTTCCACATGACAAAAGCCATAGCTGAGGCAAAGAGGCTGTACTCAATGTTGAAGGGGTACAGGTAGTAATATGCATCCTTGAAGATGGTGCAGGAAGTGTGGCTACACTTACAACTGTCATCTCCATAACTGGCTGTAAAGCAAAGCATACAATCAGATATGAAAAAAATGCAACTGTTTCTGACCGTTTCTAGCTCTTGAATCAGCGTTTATCATACCTCTGGCATAAATATCTCTTCTTGAGAGCTTGGTGACATTAGTAGGAAACTCTGGAATAATGGTTTGGTGAAGGGACTCCTCAGTAACTTCAGTCATCCATACAACAAGATTTGTGGAGAGGATAAGCATCAGCCCACAGCTAAAATATGAAAGCAGGAGAGAAAATGAACAAAGAAATTCCTCATTCGATTGATTATTGGACTCAGATTAATGGACAAATATTCATTATCTAGTATATGTGTCAAAACTAAGAATCTCAACCATTTTGGTGTATACCAGCAATAACATACAAAAAAGAAGAATCTAGAATTAATCAAATGCAGAAAGAGTACTTTAGTTCTACTGGCCAGCCACAGTTATAATGATTAGTTAAAAATGCACTTTTTTGTTGCT